GCAGGAACAGACAAAAGACACAGGAATCTAATGCACAAGCAGCAAACTTCTAAACAAGACAGCCATCCTTTTTTAAAGCTTAAGCTGATCACCTCTTGAAGAGCATTGATTTAGTAACACCTTTTGACTAATTTTAAATGAACTATTGCTTCTTTTAAACTATTTTATGTCGCTACATTTGCTATTTCATGTTTATTGTGTTTTTACCTTGCAGCTTTTGAGTTTACTAATTTGTATTGACAAGTGGATTAATTATTACCACCATCAGCCATCAGATATCTCTAACTAGAGGGGACTGAGCCAAGATGTGATCTTTGCTGCCAAGGGGGAAAAAAATAGCTTTTTTAAAGTACGCCTACTCTGTGTTCCAGGCTAACATTTCTGCCTCAAATGCACTCTGGTGAAGTTAATCAATGAACTATTTATCTACAGTGTGTGTGTGTGTGTGGTGGCATAGTGTGTGTTTCAATATGTGTGTGCGTGTCACTGAGCTATTGAGTAAGTGATTTATGAGAGGCGAACACTTATTTAGAGATCATTCGTGTGCGAGTATGAGGGAGTGTGTGTGTGTGTGTGTGTGTGTGTGTGTGTGTGTGTGTGTGTGTGTGTCTGTGTGTCTGTGTGGTCGCCTGAGCCCTCCTGCTAACTCAAACAAACAGGCAGCAGGCAGGGGTGCTGCACATGCAACACTGGAGCCAAGGTGAAATCCCTCCGCAGACTAAAAACTCAAGCTTTGTAAATAGTAGAGGATTAATCATCATTCATTACAAAACTCCGCAGACGTGAAACCACAAAGGTCTGGACTATTATACTGTTTTTGTTAGTGAAGAACAAACACTACATAGAGATTAAGGCCCAAATCGTCTTCCTGTATTTAACCCTTTACATGCACATGTCCTACAAACATCTGTTTTTTTTTAATGGAACTCCGAGACAAGACCTCCTTTTATTTGACAGCGAAGGCCATGTGTCTGCGGAGGGAAAACTCTGCGAATCTAGTCTGAGTGAGTTCATCTACAGATCAGCGATTATGACAATTATCTTATATAAAAGCTGTAGGATTTACAGACATCCTGGAAACTACACTGGGAAAGATATCGACTGGATTTAAAAAAAAAAATACAGCTATTTAAAAATCTAAATCGCAGAGTTATCTCATTTTCTTAAGTCAAACTCAGCATGGATTCAGCCGATGTGTATCTGTTGTGTTGCATCAGTTAAATGTTGGCGAGCTAGTACAGTATGCCTAACTGCTGATTCAGAATGGAGGTGTGTTTTTGGGCAGAATAATTCACCTGTTGGACAAACTGATTATTTTTCCATGGTCTAATGAGGAAAAAAAATCAATCTTACACCATCTCTGGAAAAGATCAGCAACATGCAGTTTGTAACAAATGGTCCAGCAAGAGGAGGGACTACTAGCAACAATTTCAGTACATCCAATCTCACGGCTCATTATGAAATTACAAGAAGTGATAATATTGCTATCGCCCATTGGCTGAGTTGTTATTTCAAACAATGCTATCAGTCCTGACTTTCACAGTTGGTGCATATCTAGTGCGAAGTCATAACAGGGCCATTAAAGTGTATGAAGGCATGGTAGCCGAACGTGGACTGCAGATTCAGCATTCAAAGGAAAAGTGAAGGGGGAAAGTCGGCGGTGGATATGAGGTGCCATATATGTAGGTGTGTGCGTGTGTGTGGAAGTATATGCATGTGGTTGTACGTGGTCACGGTACTGGACAGAAAGGAAGCCTGTTGGACGGAGACGGAGAGAGTGCCTTTGGAAACTGTTAAAGTAAAAGAAATAAACAGTTCAAAAGAGAAATGGCAGTTAAGAGTTGAACTCCCGGTGCCCTGGCATTTCTCTTTATGATGGATGAGCTCAGGGATCCTAGAATAGGGAAATGTGGGGGTTTGGCTTCTTTAATATCCAACTTTGTTGTAAAAGCAAAATTATGTCTTTCACATCCTGGCCTTCCGAGAAAAGCCCTCTGATTGCAACAGACTCAGACATTAAAACAAAAGGGGCCAGGACTGGCGTAAAAATATAGCCTCGACCTTGGAGATGTCGAAAAGAGCTCAGGCGATATGACGAGAGAGAAAAATTAAATCAAGATTCCAAACAAAAATGTCAACTGTGTGGGCTTTGTCTATACGTGCCTATATGTTCCTATATTAACACAGCTCCTTATTATTGAAAATGTTAAATATGCAGAGCAAACAGCTGGTGGAAGGTATCCTACTGTACACTGTTCACATTGTATCTCCAGTCTTCAAAGAAAATCAAATATAGCAGCCATGATTATATAATTACAATTGCAGTACATTCCCAGCCACACTGACCGCCCACAGTCACTAGGGGAAAAAATATAAGCTATGCATATGACATATGTTACATTTTTTGTATGCAATCCTGCAAAAACATTGGAGCTCTGCGCAATAAATAAAAAAAGGATGTCTGGGATGCACTGGGATCAAAATCAGAACAAGACTTCTCTGAACCATTGCAAAAACATTTTAAAACATTGTAAGAACTGTAGAAGGGCCCGACCGATATGGATTTTTGGGACCGATTCGGATTTTTGGGGCCGATATCGATATTCGGTCAGACAAAAAACCTGATACCGATATATCGGCCGATATCTCTCTTAGATCTAACTTCGATCTGTAGAGATAGATATAAAAATACACATTTATTGATCAAACGCTGTGGAAGAGATACATAATGAAGACAAAATGGTCACTCAACTGGAAAGTAACTGCACATGTACGAGCATCACCAGTTGACATTGGAGAGTGATAATGCTAGTTGTAATCCATAAAGCGCCCTCTGCTGGCGAAAGAGAACTGTTAGTGTAATACAATGATACTAAAAATGGAAATTTATTTGACTGGCAAATAAATCCAGTAATATTAGTGCATATCTGCGATAAAACAGGCCGATACCGATATTCTCTTGATATACAAATATCGGCTGATATTATCGGCCAGCCGATTAATCGGTCGGGCTCTAATATATAGAACATAAAACTTTTTAAGAATAAATATTTTATTCAGGGGAAAGGTTTCCCTTTTTTTAGACGGTTGACAGTTGAGAATGACGGGCGAGGGGGGCGGGGGCTTCATTTGAACACAAATATTACACTCCATAGTATGTGTGTATTTAAGAATAGATCACTTGAATATGCTTGTTTTAAAAATATTAATTGTTAAAAGTTTAAGGCAGTGATAGAGGCCAACATATGTCTAAAAACTCTCATAGGTCTCAAAGCAGTTCAACATTGTTACACTATAGTCGTATTAATGTCTGTGCTGGACACGAATAGACCTTCTGTTTTTAATTAGAAGCTTCTGTTAGCTTTGTCATGTGTTAATGAGTCTGTACTTGGTATTGTATAACATAACACCTGGACTTTGACTGTTGTCAGATCTTTGTCATGTAGCGGTCATGCAACAGACTGTCTGTCAGCACTCTCCTGTTAGCAGCCAGACAGCCAAGTTTCTGCTGGAGCGTTTTCAAAGAGCTCATCACTGAGTCATAACTTGGGAGACAAACAGTGACGGCAATGGTTAGGATGATGAAAGGACATTGCGAAGAGTAGCTCGTAGAAACTGTTTGAAAGACAGATAATGTAGAGGACTTTCCAGTTTTAAGCTGTGTAGTTTTAATTGGCTGTATGGTCAAACACCTTTCACACTTCAGGTGCAAAATGAACTCCAGGTTAAATCAAACTTTCGACATGATGAATCCAAGGCTTTTTTTTGTTGGTCTGAAGTGATGAAAAAACATTTCTCATATAAAAGAATTAGACAGATATTATCCCAAATCAAGTCTCAATGTTGGATCTCAAAGAGTCTCTATTCAGCGGAAGCCGGAGACACACAACAAAGGGCCAGAAGGATATCCACCAAAGCCTCAGTTTGGGCTTCCAGCGCCAGTCAAAGCAATATCTGGAAACACTTTTTATCCTACAACAACAAAAAACACACAGCATCCCAGATTTAAGGCCCAGCATAGCTGCATCAAACCACATTGCCCGCTATGGTCAGGCCTTAGAAAAGAGGCTTATACACAAATCTAGCCAGGGTTAAAACGCATCGGCCCGGAGGCTACATAGCACGACAACAACACTTACACAGTGAGCCCAACCTCGGTCAGACGGCAGGTCTTGTGAGGTCATTCCAAAACACTGTAAAACACCAGCTCTTCCCCCTGATTGTCTTCTAGCATGAAAGCGGCACTGCAGTTTAAGGAGGAAGAAGGAGGGGGGTTTCTCAGAAGAGAAATGTTCAAAAATGTTCTGTTTCAGCCTTGAGTAAATGTTATGATAATTTCATTTGCGTGAGTAATTGTGTCTGGTCTTGCAGACTGTTCTGGCGCTGAAGTGCAGAGCGGGAGAACAAGAGAGGATCAGGCGGCACGCCTAATGTTTATTGGATCAATTTGAAAAGGACTGGAGGAAAAGTGAAAGATACCATTTGTCCATTCCTTTCACACCCTGCATGCTTTAGTTTAGTAAATGAGGGGAAGCTTTGAGATTGTGGACCAAATGAGCCTCAGTTAGTCCTGTTTTCCAGCTGAAACACAGTGCTGGTTTAAGACTTCTATCAGAGCATCGTGTCCCGTCACTGACTTTTACATTTCCTCTTTAAATGGAGGTTGTCGAGATTTTAATAGTTCCAAAAGGGCATGACCATCCCAAGTGACAATTACTGCCTGTGCAAGCACAACTAAAGGCCTAACCCTGCTATTTTCAATACAAACAAATTCCATAAGGCAGGGGGAAAAAAAGAGCTTGCTGTTGTGACACAATTTCCATTAATGTTTTGCTAAAGCATTCCAAAGGCAAAGACAACATGCTGGAGGCGTGAGAATTAGAATTGCAACAAGTTATCGCACTTGTGCAATCCGGAGTGCCTGTACATACATGTCTATTTGAGATAGGGTGCTGTGATGATTACATAGAGGAGCTATAGGCTTCCAGTCAGGCAGAAGGGCCTGTGAAGGGGGCTGGTCTCCGGGGCTTTACACTGGCCGACAGTAAGCAGGAAATCAGGAAATAAGCAAAGCAAAGGAACAATGACATGGAGATTAGAGATCAGTTAACCCCCTCCTCTGGGTGGCTGACCTGTTTGCTCATTGACTATGACTTCCTTTTAGACACAAGCACAAAATCTATGCGACACACACACACACACACACTCTTGAACACATTTACCTCAACCCCTCTCATTCTGTCCCTCTCTTAAACAGATTCACAACATTTCTTCCACATGTCAGCCTAGAAGCTTCAACTTTACGCCCAGTTTTGCACAGGTAATGGGTGCAGCCAACGGATTGTCAGGATTTAAATTAACACTTATGACTAAAAAGGCCGACTCATATCGCAACCTGGATGATATCATCTGAAGCCTGGAAGCAGGATTACTTTAAATGTAAACTTCAAGAAGGGGTGGGGGGGAGGAAAAGCCTCCACCTGAATGCCTTTTCTACTCTGACCTCACCTGGCTTATCTCTTAGACAGAGAGGACTTTCACCGGCAACACACCTGGAGAAGTCTACAGTGCAACAGGGAGTTTACACTGGGAAGGATTAGCACTTAAAGAAAAAGTAGCAAGCGGATTAAAACACGTGCCTAAACAGCAGCTACGACAAAAGGTAAGAAGCACGTTTTTTTGGTAGCTGAATTCTAAACTTCAAAGTTTGAAGTCGACTTGGTTTTATAACTGGGGAAATAACCGTTTTAAATGACCTTGTTTCTCTCTCTCAAGGCTGCACAACCAGGTCTTCTCTGTAACTGTCGAACAAGCCCGATCATGTCGAGGAAGAGTTCACCAGGTTGTGAAGGTAGCTGCTGCTTCGGTTTCTGACGGAGAAGTGTGTGCATGCATGGGATTCTACTGACCCTATTTGTTCAGGAAGACAGGTAAGAACTAACTAATCAATCTTTATCTGTCCAATTGTTATTCATCCCTCTAGACAAACAACTGCGGGGAAAAAAACTCTTGGATTCGACTGCTTTTAAATCGTGGTTTAAGCTTTCCTAAGACATATCCCTCATCTGTCTCAAAGATGGATCATTTATGGCAGACTTCTGGGGGATAATTAAAGAAAAGTTTCTTGGCCAATGTGTTTTTATGGGCTCCTTTAATTTTGACTTGGCCTTGAAGTATTTCCTGAATATGATACTCGTGGCTGAAATCCTCCTCCTTGGCCAAACTGACATGTTTGGAAAGGAATGCTGTTGTGTCCACACTCTTCGATCCCCCGCTGCTACTAAAGTGCCGGTAAAACCTTTACGGGCCAACAAAACCTGTTTGCTGTAGTGGCTTACAAATTTACAGAGTGAGTGTTTCAAGTCACGAACACAGATCTAATGTGGGCAAAGCTGTTTGGCTGTGTTAGACTGTAAAATCAAAGACACTTAGCAGACGATGTAATCCTGCCATGCCAGTGTTGATGAACCCAGTTCTGTTTTACTTAATAAAATGATTAGCGGTCACGGAACATATAATGGCCTCCTTTTTTAATGATGGAGTTTGACTTCAATTGGAAGTATTTCTGTATTATTTATGCTAAAAAGATGTTTCCTTGTCAGTTGAGTTGGTAGAAGTTAAAGTTTGATCATGTAAAAGCAGCCCCAAATTACATTACAAAACCGATAACATTTTCAATCTCCAAGCCTTTCACTCTTCAAGCAGCTTGGTAGTTGGTGAAGTTCTGCCAGAAAATCCCACTCTGCGCGTTCAGTAACTTTTCTAAAATTGTACTGCAGTAGACTGTGGTGTCATTTATGGTTTAAATTAATAACATTCTCCAAACTTCTGCATCAAGAGTATCTGCAGAACTATCACACCACAACAAAATAAACTAACTGCATCCCTGTAATTGTTATCTTCACCCAAATTATGAACATGTGTTGCAAAGTGAAGTTATATTCCTGATATCTGACAGAGGTTACGGTAAAAACCTCACATTGTGCCAAAACTAATGTGAAGACAGATATTTTATTACATGCAGGAAAATAATAACCCTTTGAGTATCTGCATGTATTTTTTTTTTTTGCTTTTCTTACTGGAAGTCTGAAGTAGGCTAATATATTTCTCTTAGAGGACAGGAAGCAGACCACACCTGCACTTATGGGAAAACATGGTTTGAAGAAGTAAATATTTAGAGATAAAAGCTTTGAAGCATTGCGGAACATCCCACTACTGCCAAATAGTACAGAATTTCATTAAATCAAAATCAAGTAGAGCAGGTGCGATCTCTAAAAATTGGCTGCCGAGGAACATCAAGCCAACTGGTGAAGCCCAGTGCTCACATCTGGTGCTAAATTACATGACAAGCACAAGCACAGACCTGCTCCATTTTCAAGAGGGATGAGATTCAAAATGCAGCCTTGATTAAAAGAATTACCCTCACAGGAAGACCACAGTTTTTTAAAACTTTTTTTGTGCTTTCTTTGCAGATGGCATTATGCTTTTAAAATTCACCACTACCTGAGGATTCTTCTGTCAAACAAAGGACGACCTACAAAAGGACACACTTCCGAGGACATACAGAAACATTGAAATATATCTCAAACAGATCTAGCAAGATGCCGCTCAGAACATCATTGTACAGAAAGCCATCCTCTGCTCGTTGGCCCAGCAGGAAGCGCAGGGAGGTGCTGTCGGTCAACATGATTAGCCTCCCACTGGCTGATTTCCGACACATCTCACACATTGGCAATGACGCCCATACAGACAGCTTTGGAGACCTGTCCTTCTTAAAAATGGGACACAATCTGCTTCTACAGAGCTCCCAGAGTGAGCAGAATCTCTTCCTGGCCTGTTCTCCACCACCCAAGCCCCCACGTTTGAACCTGGACGGGGCAGAGGGTGAAGAGAGCCCTGACTGGAATGCAGGTCACCAACAAAAGATGGCTCAGAAGAGGAAGAAATGCAGCTCCATGCCACTTCTGGACAGCAAGGAAGGAGACGATCAGATAGAAAAGGAGGCTGGGTACCAAAGAGGGAATAATGCTGCTTCCATTCAGACTCACAGGTCTGGATGTGGCAGCCTGAGCTCAGACAAGGACGGAGACTCCACAGACACCTATGACACAACCGCTGGAGAGCAAAAGGACGAGGACAGTGGCTTTTCCTTCAGCCTCGACCTCGGCCCTTCAATCCTGGATGATGTTCTGCAGGTGATGGACAAACTACACAACTAGACCAGATATTTGGCAAACAGCAAAGAAAGGAAACATTTGGAAAACATTAAAGAGATACAAGCTGAACTGATTTTATGGGACAAAACAACATCCTGGTATGATGGTTGTTGTTTGAATATACATGGAGCTTTTTGAATCTGGCATCAACTCAGGACTGACATTTTTGATGGATATAAACTACTACATTGACAAGACTGATGAACTGATGAGAAATGATGACTTTCTTTTATTTTTCAGCCAAAGGTTTTGTGATTTTTTTTTTGGTGTCTGGAGCACACAGAAGCCAACAGTATATTTTCTTTAAAGAGACCCTTTGCAGAGGTGAATATAAAGTTTTAGTTAATAACTGACTTCTGTCTAAAGCTTTGTCAAAACTCAAAGCTGGACACTTTAACCTTCCTCTAGTTTCCTCTTTAGCTAATGTACTGAAAACGGCTGTTAAGACTTAAAGAGTGTTGTGTTTAAGAATAGAAAAGTTGCGGCTGGAATCCAAGGTCCTCTAGCTGCGATGTCTTGGCTCTTGGCGTGCTTGCCAATCTATTGTGTGCACAGGGCAATTTTTCCTCCGCACGCATCCCAGAGGCCCCACTTTAAGGTAGACCGAGGTACCCCCCATCTCTCGTTCCCAACAATGCAGTGAAAACAAACACTTAGCTCTGCTTCCAATAAAGGCAGCCAGTAGTGGCAGGTTGGGCTGCGGACCAAGCCAGGCCACAGGTCCAAGACCTCAGAGGGAAAAAAAAAAGAAAAAAAAAGAAGCCAGAACAGGCTGTTTTCTTAGCTGCAAATCAGAGTCCCATGCTCTGGTGAGTGCCGCACGAGAAGGAAAGGGGTAAAGGGAAACGTGATACTTCCACATATGCAGGGGGTGTCGAGGGAGGAGGACCAGAAACATCCAATACTGCAGCAAAAGTCCTGATGAAGGTTTAAACACTACCTTCTGACCAAACAGACCCCCAACACGCGAAAAGTGCAATGCGTGACTCCCACTTACGCTGACATCGAACATTTTTTTGACGCATGATCAAAATGAAATTTTTGCAGACAATCTTAGGTCCACTTTTTCTCAGGTCTGTGCCTTAGCAGGGGGTTGCCATGAAGACTGTCGAATTCCTATGTTTCCCACGAACACTCCCGAATACATGATCGACAATTGTCCCGCTTCTAGCAATAGATATGAAATTCTATATATGTCAAAACAGAAACAGAAATGTTTGTGGGTAGGTCTGCAGTCTATATCTGTTTTGGCATCTCCCAATTTAAACTGGATATGAATGTTCCTTTTTCCTTCTATATCCTATGACAATAACACATTGTGAAACATTTCATGCATTGAAAACATGTACTGTTTTGTGTTTTGGGGAAGTAAAGCAAATATCTTTCAAATTCCAAAATTGGTGGTTTTGTGGATAGAACTTCATGTCAACATTTTTAAAAAACTCGTTTGAGATTGTTCCTGATGGACAGACATTTATTTGGCTTTTGAACCGTCAGCAGCCACTGTGGAGGCAATAAGCCTCGTCTGTCACCAACAGCTGACAGTTTCAGAGGGCGGTAATATACCTTGAACTATCCAACACAACAAGCGGCTCAGTATTATTTGGAAGAGGATAGACACACAACCCAAAATTAGACAGGCATGTCGAACAGGATTTTGTTTCTGTGTGTTTTTCCCCAACAAATATTGTCATAGAGCAAGAGGGATTTTGAAGCATCTGTTGATAATTTCGGCATATAGAGTACTGCCCAGGAAAAAACAGCCATTTTTAATAGCAAAATAATGGTGGAGCAAATGTGTCAGCTTTTTCTACAAAATTAACTTTTTATTTAAAGATTGTTTGCTTTGGGCAGAGTTATCACATCTACTTCAATGGCACTTATTCAAAATCGAATCTATTCAGCCAGAAGAAGAAAACCACTGACTCATTGTATGAAAACCCATCCTTACTCATAACCTCCCTCAAACATGAACATTTTCTTCCTGCAGAGGCCTCGGCTGCTATGGCTCTCATCCCAGTGCAGAAAATCACTTCAACTTAAGCTCAGCAGGTGTCTGCTACATGACTGATGTGAGAAAAAAAAGTCATCTGAATTGAAAATTATCTCAACAAATTATCTTGTCTGCACTGCACAAACTGTACGAACTGTGACATTTCCCTATTCCATCTGGTACCACTTCTCTCCTTGCTGTCATGCTGAATACCAAGAAACCCTGTCATCTCGCTGAGAAGAGTATAGCTCTCATGAGTCATTTATTTTGTCAGGTATTAACTGAAAGCTTTGTAATATTATTCTGGAAAATAAGAGCGGTGTCCCTCCTGCTGTTATTTCATCTCCCTGAATAAAAATAAGGATGCTTCTAAAATATGTAGCATGAGTTTACATGGTTTCACAAACAAAAGGAGATTTGCTAAAGTTATATATTGTATGCTGCCTGTATATATTCAGAGACTTGAGCCACAGAGAGTTAGTCCTACTCAGAGTATCTCTGTATGAACAGTCTGATCTTTTGTTCCCTTAGGGTTTCTTTTACACAGACATGATATCCCCAACAGCTCCAATCCAGTGTCTTCATTCTATTTCTATTCAACCATGAAACACAGTATGAATAGCAGGTTACTAATATTCATAATTAAGCTGCAGATTTGGCTGTAATATGCGGTTTGTCACAATTGGTTGCCAAATTTCTTTCGGTGGAGGGCCACACTGTGCAGGGTGTTCACTGGTTTTAAACTGCCATGTCGACTTTGCTTTGTAAATGATGAACAACAAAAGAACCCTACCCTTAAAACAAGAGGAGCATCGACAAACAAGCTAAACAGGAGCCTTGCTAGCAGGCCCTCCTTAGTGTCCGGTTTACATTCAAGAGCAACAAAGAAACACTGATTACTTGTACGCTATGCTATGATTCATAATCTCAATCAATCACCAGGTCTATTCATTTTGCAGAGCTCTGTTATATTTTGGCTCCCGACTAGAACCTTGTCAATGCTGGCCATCGAAGGATTACTGTTACACTTGGTTTGTTAAGTTTAAAGCCGGCTATGCTGTTGCTCCTGCAATTCTCTGAGTACAATGACACAGGTAAAAAAAAAAGAATAGTGCAGCTTTGACTGACGAAATAAGAGTTAAGTCCGGGTCTTTTTGTATAACGATTCAAATTTCCGACTTTCACGCAGCATCCCTGATTTATAATATTGCTTTCTACTTCTGTCTTTGTTGGGAGTAAAATAAAATAAAACCTGCTGTTCTCTCCCCTACAAGTGTGTTATCTTGATTCAGAGAGGGCGTCAGTCTAGGGTCAATAATGGCCACAAACACCAAGTCTCTTAAAGACTAGGGCTATTTAATTTGAGTAGACACTTAAGCACTAGCAAACTGGAGGACGGGAAAAAGACTCAGAGAATGGCTGCTCTTTAGCATCTGCTTTTGTTGTGGCAAACATGCCATGACTCTTCAGCTCTAGACGGAGGCAACAGGCATAAAAGGCTTAAATGTACGTATTCAGAGCATGCTGAGCTAAACTATGTGATAGCAGTGATTCATGTAAGCATTACATCTACGATGACACAGACTTGAGGTCTGGCAAAGACAAAGCGGATATTTCGATGGTCATTTCCACATCCTAGACCGTCTTGGAGGTGTGATATGATTCATTAGTTTGACTGTGTGTTACCATAAAGGCAGCCACACACTAACACAGTCTGAGCCCGAAACAGTTTCTGTCACCACAAAAACAGCAATTAATTCAAAATACTGTTTATTTTCTGACGTCAGGATCATTCAGAAACCATGACTAATTCCGGATTGGCTGAGATTTTGCAACTGTGTACAATACAACTCTAATAGAAATGCACTGATGGGAATGACTTCTTCTATAAACCCGCCATTTCTCAATCTCTAAGTCTGATGGTTTATTATGTCAAAGCGTAAAGAAACAACCAAGTACAGTTTGGAGACGAAACTAGATCCTTTCCCAAATGATCAGTCTAAATTAAGTCGGGAGCATGGGGAGCTATTTCACACAGTGAGAAAGATGTGACCCTTCCCCGTTATGAAACTTTTTTAATATCCACAGTGAGAGAAAAAAAAAAACTGTGTGAATGCAGCAGGGGCCCAGCATTAATCATGTCATATCATCTTTCTGAAAAAGCAGAATAAAACAGAACCAACAGTTCAACAGGTCTCCTCATTGTCTCCTTGTCAGAGTGATGAAACTCGAACGCACCATGTCATAGTTAATAATGTTCAAAGTCCCCAAACACTTAGGGGTGTCCGTTAAGGGGAAATGTGCCCTCCGATCTTTGAGATACTTTATTAAAGTACAACTTACTGTGCTGACAGCTTCCTGCTAATTTAATTTCTACACTTATTACATATGATTTCCCATAGATAATGAGTTCAAGCTACAACACTACAACATGTTAATATGTGTTTATGGTTATAGCACCACCTCATGGCTAAAATCTAAGCTAAATCTTGGCGCCAGCTTTCTAATAAGGCTATCACTGGACCAGCCTCAGTCCAGGTCTGGTCAGCATTAACACCTTTCAAGAAACAACAGTCTGACAAAAACCCAAGCAGTTCTCACTGTGGAGCTGCAGTAATAGTTCAGTGTGGCTAACTTTAACATTCGCTTATTGCTCCACATTGCATTGCTCATCAACCTACACAGTTACTGTTTTGGGCAGATGCTAGCTTTAGCTCGTGCGTCATTGTTGGCGCAAAACGAGAGTGCGTGAGCTGTCTATGGTTAGCTTGAGCTTGGTTAGCCCTCAGCAGCTGAAATGGATATGTTTTAGAGAGATAGTGCAAGTCTCTCAAACTCAGATGAAAATACAAACCCACCTTTGCTGGGCCAAACACACGTGAACCCTCGGTAGGGAAATAGAAGTGACTTTCCTGTTGTTTACCAAACGTAGTAAACGTTAGACAACATCTTTTTGTGGAAATAATGCCATGAAGGTTGGATGTGTGCAAAAGTTGTGTACACTAGTCCATTGTCGGACAGTTGCTTCCACCATTAACTGAGAGATAGAGCTGGTCATAGTGATAGTATGGGCGACCCACACTGGTAAGAGCCAGCAGACCTGGTCTGACAAACAACAGAATGTATGACAAGTGATTGCTGGTGTGTTTTCTTTAGTACCCCAAAATGAACACAGGAAGTGGCATTGTCCACATCATCACGTATAAATTAATATCCCAGTGGACTGTTTAGTGTCTGTTTGGAATTTGTAGCTGCTTTTAAGTGCCCGAAGGTGTGAGGGCCTCTTCAATACTGTTTATTGTACGGTAATTAGCTTGTCTGGCTTTTTAATGCACTATTATTAATCAATGCCTGACACAAATCTGCAAACAAATAGGAGCTGTCAGTAGAGTGTATGGATCAGCTGTTTAATTATCAGTTTAGAGTAATCCAGCACCTGAAAAAGGTTTTGATGACGAGTCCCTGCATTCTGTTTGCCATTCACATTGACCCTGTATGATTGAATAAAGCGGGCTGGAACCGAAGCTGAGGCTGAAGTCATACAGCTGTGACTCTGAGCTCCCTGTAGTGAGACTTTCACTCTCAGAGCTCGATGTGTGGATTGATGAGGTCAAAGAAGCAAGTCCTCACCCAAGTGGCTCCCATGTGATTGCAGCTGGCTGTTGTGGAGGAGCGATGGAGAGGTAAATGACAGGAGAAGAATCTAATATTTAGATTTCAGATAAAGACAGGAATAGAGAGGGACCTCCAAGGCTCTAGCTTCTTATTACCTCTAGCCAGGTCCACTGACCCCAGGCCAGATGTGGAACAACATTACTTATTAGTAGAACGGCTAACCCATTATGTCATGTTTTTGATAATATTCTTGCTGAATGCTAATGTGAAAATTACCCGGCCAAAGTAATGTTTTCATTCTCAGAGGCAGGGAGGGAAAAAAAAAGATGAAGCAATCCGTTTTAGATATCTGTAAGCTAAGACGGGTTACCATAATAACATTTAAAGAGATTAGTGTGACAAGTCCCAGTGTGCAGGCTCAGTCTCACATGCTAGTCTTGACATGGGGCCTTGAGACTCAGCACTGGGTTTAGGGGTGAAATGTAGTTCAGCAGCAGCTCTGGAGACAGAGATAAGTAGACGCAGATAGTCTACTGATCTATAATCCCTCACAGGTAAAGATCACAACATAGGAGAAGTAAATGGACACTGTTGGGGGAAAAAATTACTTCATACTAATCCAATGACCAGTAAGGAAAACTTTGTATATTCTCTGTGGAAATAGCTGAAATGTGATTATCTTTGGACAGGAAATGGTTAAATGTGTCTTTGGTGGATGCATGTGCTGAAAGCAGGAAAAAAAAAATGTGGGCAAGCAAAATCAATTAAATCATTATGCTTGCAATACAGACTACTGTGATTTCCAAATCACACTGGGCTACTCCTCAGGAAGGAAATGTTTTAAGATACTTTTCTCTCAATGAAGCATCCAGTTAAGTGCATTAAACACTTGGTCAGCAGAAGATCCATAATAATAATAATATCTCAATGAACAAAATGCAGATCTCTTAAAATATGTATAATGTTTTATTATAACTAGCAATATAGAGACACAGCCTTAACAATGTTGGTATTACTTCTATCCCCGCCATTATTACACTCTTCTTTATGTGTGTTGCTTTGACAAGCCCAGCATTCCTGGGGTCTCCCAGGTCAGGCTCGTTAACAAGTGGCCAACCAGCAACCTTGAGCCGGTACCGGATCAGCGCCGCACCACTCCAAAACAAATAAACTGAGGGTCATTTAACCAAACACATTGTTCTAGGCCAGACGAGGGGAGTGCAACATTTGCACCAATGATATGAAAATAAAACCTCCGAGGGTTTACATACCTCGTTTTCTGGGTCAGTGTTTAGGCAATAGTATTTGTGTTGGAAGCTGTGTACATGGGAAGCTTTTGTAACATGTGCTTTCAGGGAGTAAGAGAAGGATTTACAACTACTATTTTTTTTTTCAACGTACCTGTGAAGACACGAACTGGCCAGGTTGGGCTGCTGTGGTGACAACCGCCGGCTGTCCTTCAAGCCATGCAATCTTCAAGGGGTTTTCACTCAGGCCACATTCATTTTTAACTGCCAGCTCCTAAAAGGACAGAAATAATCAGCCAGAAGATCTTCTAATAGTTTCTCTGCACATATATTATAAGGGTAAAAATCTCTGTGTCCTGAAATCTGTATAACTCGGGTATTTGTGGAGGGACTTTTGGAGTAATAAACATGTGAAAAACACACGCAAACAAAGCATAAAGGTGGATTGTAACTGTGCCAACACCTAGAGCAAGGCCGGGATAAGGACATGGGCAGGCGGAGACCACAGAACCTGCGCCCAGATCCCAGTAGACAGGCCGACATGTTCTTTGGACAGAAACCACACGCCACGGACAGGAAGGCACAACATAAAAGTACAACATCATGACAAACAGCCTGAGGACCCAGACAGCGTAGAACAATGGATCCTTCCATCCAATGGTTCCTCGAAGCACACAGATCTCAGCATGACTCAAACATTTCCGTTGGTTGCAGAAACTGTCCCAAGGCTGGCAGGAACGGTGTCACATTCAACAAAAATCGAACTCAGCAGGTGACCTCGGACAACGAGGCAGTTGAGCGGTAAGCAAATGTGGTTCTATGCAAATGTCTGCTTTGAAAAAAGATTTTCATTGTTGAGCAGAAAGAACGAGGACAGGGACTGGGGGAAGAGTTGAGTACTTACAGCCGCTCTCACAGTTGCAAATTCAACCACAGCACTTCCTTTCTTCTTATTGGAAACAATCACATTTAACACATCTCCGTACTAGAGGGAAGAAACAGAGAATAAAAGAAAAGGGGAGAGGAAAGAGGAGACATGCAGAACATTCAAATTAGTATTTCCTTTCACAGAGCAACCAATAACCATGCAAACACAAAGCATGTGTAGACTGAACAACTCAAAACATGGGAGACTACAACAGATTTCTGGACTCAAAGTTTGGATTCAATATGTGTTTGGTTGTTCAAGCTAATCACTAATGATGGGCTTTGTATGTTTGTGAGTGAGCCAGTAACACCGGCAAGAGCATTAAAGCAACATCATGTTGAAGAGTGCGACCTCTGACCTCTTAAAAAAAGACAAGAAGCAATACATTGTTATATTACCAGACTCTTGCCATCAGATCAGCTACTCTTGTTATCAATATTTGATAACAAACATTTTTTTTGTTGCATGGAGACTTAAGTTAGATGTGCCTCTCATCAAACGCCCTGCCTCAGCTCAGAACAGGGCGGAAAGGCCGGCCAAAAAGGGGAGCAAGATAAATAGCATCTCAGTCATTGCCTGGTCTCTGTCCCGGAGAGATGGAGAGAAAAGGAGGAAGGCTGGAAACTCAGCTTAGCAGCCATGAGGGTTTTTTGGAAATTCCTTTGAGAATCTTATCTTGTGAAAAAGTAGCTTTCTGGGAACGGGGGAAAGTACTGGAATGCTAATGCTTATAAAGGACACCATGGAGCAAGCCAACAGTGACAAAGGAGACTCTCAAAAGGCCTCTGTTTCATAAAATATAAATGTATTTTCATGGTTTTTTTTGTATTATTCTAAAGCGGCCAAAGTACACAAGTCAGCACACGTACGCAAAAAGAGACACATACTCGACTTGCTTTCCCACACAGCGGAGGCTATTTCTACTTGAACCATTAAGTGTCACTCACTGGAGCTTGCCATTTCAAACAACATTTTTCCTTGAAATGTGTTCCTCTGCTTAAGAATTGAAAAAGGAACAACACAGTGTTTATTCTGACACAGCCCTCCTGCCTGGGACAGTAGTGATTGAGTTCGTGCAGAGGAGAAAACTCAAAACGCCTTTTTTTTCTTTTTTGACTTGCCCTCTTCCCTCGTTTCAGACCG